TCTGAGCGGTTGCTATGCTGTTGTTGTGGTGTTCTGAGCAGTTGCTAGGCTGTTGTTATGGTGTTCTGAGCGGTTGCTATGCTGTTGTTGTGGTGTTCTGAGCGGTTGCTATGCTGTTGTTGTGGTGTTCTGAGCAGTTGTTAGGCTGTTGTTATGGTGTTCTGAATGACTGTTCTGAGTGATCTAACACCTCTCAGTATTTGTCTGAAGTGCTCCGGCTAAGTGTGACTCCTCAGACTCGTGTTGTTTTGGTTCTTCAGAGCCTGCAGGTGTTTACAGGCTCTCCAGTGTCTTACAGGACATTTCCAGCCGTCAAGCATCAGGACACGAGCCTCTGAACACATCAGCACTGCAGCGGTTTGATCTTAACCTGTTCTGAAAGGCTTTTACGAACACACGCAGGGACCTAGAAATAATGTGCTGAGCCGTCAACATCCACCAGCGTCTCGAGGTGCACAGCTCCACTCCATAAGTTCACTTCACAGGAGAAACATCTGAACCCTCAAGCAAAGGCCATTTATTTCATTTTCTACAAGTTAACAGGCTGCAGGCGGGTCAGGGGTCAGTCTGACCTGTTAACTACTTAAAGGACTCTCTATTTCTGTAGGCTAGCTGGAGAAAAAAGCACATATCTCAGAGTCAGAGACAGGACGGCCCCTGAGGGCCCGTTCACAGAGTGACATCTGGATTAAAGCCATCTGTCGACCCCGCAGAGACACGGGGCCCTGATAAACACACACGACAACTAGAAGAGTGACACATCAGCTGATAACAGACTGAACGTGCATGACACGAATATTTATAATCAGAATATCAGCTATTTGAACTAAATCCATCACATTTAGAATTATTAGTTATATGTTATATGTTATATATTAGTTATATGTTATTAGTTATATGTTATACAGTTTTTTTGTTTTGTTTTTTTGTTTAAATTTATATGTATTATCTCTTTATTTCTATTCCCTATTCCTGATGTTAGGTGATCACACTCTTATTTAATGGATATAACTGTTTAATAAATGGTTTTATTCAAATGCATCAAAATATATCTTTTTTTCACGGAGAAATGGATTAAAAATATGCATTTTCAAAATGCTGTATATTCACTATTGCTTAGCACTATATATATATATATATATATATATATATATATATATATATATATATATATATATATATATATATATATATATATATA